CATGTATTTTATATATATAAAATATATGAAAAACATTAATATAAGACCAAATACAATACATATTATAATAATTCAATTTCAATTCATAAAACATTCAAATAACCTCTAAATGCAATATTCCTTTTTTACAGAAAACAAACATGTCAATTCCAAAACAATATTTACTTGAAGTAAACTGTCATTAACCATTTACTGATATTTACCATTGCACCTGATATTTTATTATACTTCTATCACACGTTATTTTTCTTATTTTTTAATTTTAGGTTATATCAGCCCACGTCTATTACACAGTCTGCGACAAAACTTTTCCGCAGATTCCGCTAAAAACTGCTGACAAACTGTTGAAAACGTAGAACGCTCGTGATTGGTTCCGCTCTCGTTCCGCGTTCCGCGTTTTTCAACAGTTTGTTAGCAGCTTTTAGCGGAATCTGCGGAAAAGTTTTGTCGCAGACTGTGTAATAGACGTGGGCTGATATAACCTAAAAAATAAGAAAAATAACGTGTAATAGAAGTGTAATAAAATATCAGGAGCAATAGTAAATATCAGTAAATGGTTAATGACAGTTTACTTCAAATAAATATTGTTTTGGAATTGACATGTTTGTTTTCCGTAAAAAAGGAATATTGCATTTAGGGGTTCCCTTATAGAAATATCATACTAAGAATCATTGATAATTACTTATTATCCAGTATTTTTAATACTGAAAATAAGTAATTATCAATGATTCTTAGTATGATATTTCTATAAGGGTATTTGAATGTTTTATGAATTGAAATTGAATTATTATAATATGTATTGTATTTGCCCAATGAAAAATTTTTTATATATAATTATATAAAATTATATAACATTATATATAATTATATATAATTATATATTATTATGTATCAAATTTGTCTATTCATGTTCATACATTCTACTTATATATATAATTATATATTATTATGTATAATTATATATATAAATTCATATATAATTTTACATAATTACGCATAAATTTATATGTAATTATACATATTGTTATACATAATTGTGTATAATTATATGTAATTTTATATGATTATATATAATTATACATAATTATGTATGGACAAATTTCATACAAAATTTTGCATGAAAAATTTTTCATCGGGTGGTCTTATATTAATGTTCCTCATATATTTTATATATATAAAATGGTAGTTATATACATGGTGGATCAAATCTGCTTTTGTATGTGAAATCAAGTAACGTAATACTAAAATTTCTTTATACATTAAGGTATAAACTTATATCCTAAAGTAGTTATCTCTGTACTATACTCTGTATCCTTATAGAAATATCATACTAAGAATCATTGATTATTACTTATTTTCAGTATTAAAAATACTGGATAATAAGTAATTATCAATGATTCTTAGTATGATATTTCTATAAGGGTACTGTAATGGCTCCTGCACACAGGACGCGGTAATGCTTGCGGCGGAAGTTTGCGCGAGAGCCAATTAATATGCTGCTTTCCGTAATAACTTCCTAGCTCTTACAGAAAAACAACATATTGATTGGCTGTCGCGCGAACTTCCGCCGCGCTGCAAGCATTACCGCGTCCTGTGTGCAGGAGCCATAATGTGTTAACAATTGATCTATGCAGAAAAATAAATGTAGATACTGCGGCTGGATTTTCATGAAAAACATGAATTGGTTGCAACATTCATGTTTTCCCTTATAGAAATATCATACTAAGAATTATTGATAATTACTTATTTTCAGTATTAAAAATACTGGATAATAAGTAATTATCAATGATTCTTAGTGTGATATTTCTATAAGGGTTTCTCAATATGATGAAACTATAAACATAATTATCGTTGATGAGAATAATATTGTGACAATGAACAAGTTTATTATCATTAATTGACCATTTTCTGACACTTATAAAATATCGAAGATTGTTTCCATTTCCTCCAATACTTGCAGATATATAACAATGCAATTTTAGAATTCATTATATAATGCTTTCCTTGTATGTACCTGTAAATACATAAGTTATTACATAAAATCACAATATTCATAATATTTTTAATATATTGTATATTTTATTGTATATTATATATTGCTTGTCAATTATTATTAATTAAAATGGGAATCTTACAAGTAATTACAAGTAATTACAAGTAACCCTTATAGGAATATCATACTAAGAATCATTGATAATTACTTATTTTCAGTATTACAAATACTGGATAATAAGTAATTATTAATGATTCTTAGTATGATATTTTTATAAGGGAACTTATTAGAAGTAACAATTAGTTACTAGTAACAATTAGTTATTAGTACTAAGTACTTATTTTACAATTAATCCAGCTAGCCAAGTCTATAAAACAATATTAATTAATACTCAATACAATAAACGATATTAGTTAATATTTTATACAATATTACGGCTATATCATGAATTTTACAATGGAGGTTTAATATATATCCTTTCTTTCTTCAGTAAGTGGCTCTCGATAATGCGTAATATATATCAAATCCGTCATTTTTCGCATTGAAACACGAGCACCTAAGTACTCATGGAGCCGAATGAGCACTCGCTCAACCAATCGCGAGTCATTATTTCAAAAAGTTACAACGGGAGCGGTGCACTTGGACACAGCCAATCACAGCACCGTGTGATTAGAGACATTTGTAGGGTCCCTTGGAACAGCGACTTGTGATTGGACTGTGTCCAATTGCCCCGTGTCCAACTGATATACACCCGTTACAACTGCCTTAAAACTTATTTTATAAATTTTAACATTTTCAGTCAATATTTACAATACAAAATACATTTAATTAAATATTTATATATATAATAATAAAAACCAATAATAAAACATTAATTTAAAAGTCATTTTAGTTACGCGCTATTCATTCCGCTCGATGGGTACTTAGGAATTAAAAATCCGTGCAACGAAACTGCGGAACGCTCGTGATTGGTTCCGCTCTCGTTCCGCGCTCCGCTATTCCGCTGTATGGGTTTGCACCCTCACTGTTACGGAAAGTGTGTGTGGTCAGCTTAAAGCTGGCTTTATTGGTTGACGAACAGAGAACTTAGAAATACTCTATTCGCCAACCAATAAACGTATCTGAAAAGCTTGTCGAACGACACATGTAATATCAGCCTAAATGCTGATTTATAATGGCTGTAATCCGTTAACTTATACCGGAACCGTAAGAAATGGACCAATCACAATCGATTATTTTTCTATAATTCGACTGATTGGTCAATTTTTTACAGTTCCTACATAAATTAATATCGGTCTACGGCCCGTTCTACAATACGTCGTATGACGAATTCGGATGTCGGAACGCAATCAATGGTCCAATCAGGAGAACACGTCTCGAAAAACAAATCCTCTGATTAGCTCATCGACTGCGTTCCGACGTCCGACAGCGACATACGATGTATTGTAGAACCAGTTTAAAACCTTGCTTTAAGCTTTAAGTCGTAAGCAACTGATCACAATCAATTATTCTTAAGACGTAAGAAAAATAATTGACTGTGGATGGTCAATTGCTTAATGGCTCCTGCACACAGGACGCGGTAATGCGACAGAAGTTCGCGCGACAGCCAATCAATATGCTGCTTTCCGTAATAACCTTCTAGCTCTTACGGAAAGACAACATATTGATTGGCTGTCGCGCGGTCTTCCGTCGCGCATTACCGCGTCCTGTGTGCAGGAGCCATTAGTGTAATCAGGCCATATGGCTCCTGCACACAGAATGTGATAATGCTTGCTGCGCGGCGGAAGTTGGTGCGACAGCCAATTAATATACAATATTCCGTAATAATCTTTTAGCTCTTATGGAAAAACAGCACATTGATTGGCTAATGCGTTATTCCCTAAGCAACTTTTACCGCGCGGCAAGCGTTACCGCGTTCTGTGTGCAGGAGCCATTAGTCCCGATTTACAATGGGTGCTTTCCAGTTGCGTACACTGTGTTACACAAAACCAGCTTATTGGTTGCATATTATCTTACAAGATATTTTAGATAATATGTAACCAATATTTTGTGTACGTGTGTGTCAAGATGTGTTAAGCAATTGGAAAAAACCCACTAGGTGTAGTAAGCTTTAAGCCTTGAGAAATTGACCATTCATAGTCGATTATTCTCCCCAAATTTGACTGTAATTGGTCAATTTCTTATAGTTTAGGCTAAGTTTCCACTGAGCGCGTCACGCGTCGCGTCGTCTGCTGCGTCACGAGTTAATCCATCAAATTCTCTAATTGGGATGACGCGACACGCGACGCACGACGCACTTGTTCCAATGGAACGATTTGATTGGTTAACTCGTGACGCAGGCAGACGACGCGTGACGCGCTCAGTGGGAACTTAGCCTTAAAGCTTACTACACCTATTGTGGATCGAGGCTAATGACCATCATAAACCAGCCTTAAGACATAAGAGCTTTCTCATGCAGAGGTTACTATTTAACGAGTTAGTTTCGCGAAATCGCCGGTTTTCAATGACGCGTTTAAGCGGGTACATATGGCTCCTGCACACAGGATGCGGTAATGTTTGCCGCGCGGCGGAAGTCCGCGCGACAGCCAATCAATATGTTGTTTTTCCGTAGGAACTAGAAGGTTATTACGGAAAGCAGCATATTGATTGGCTGTTGCGTGAACTTCCGCCGCGCGGCAAGTATTACTGCGTTCTGTGTGTAGGAGCCAATATGCTTCCATAAAGACATAATGTACAACGCATGAGAAAATTGACCAATCAGAGTTCTCATTTCTATTGCCATGATAAAAATGAAGGACTCTGATTGGTCAATTTTCTTATGCGTTGTGCATTATGCCTTTATGCAAGTGTGTGCTCCCCGCTTTAAGGTACTATTTCACGTGTCGTACGACAAGCTTTTCAGATACGTTTATTGGTTGGCGAATAGAGTATTTCTAGGTTCTCTGTTCATCAACCAATGAACGTATCCAAAAAGCTTGTCGTACGACACGTGAAATATCAGCCTTAGTCTATGACTAAAGTTACGTTGCCGAAGGTTTCGTTTCGAGCTATCTCTGTGATCCTTATTAGCTATGCGCCTCAGTTGACTCAACTGTCAAAATTGTCAATATGGAGAAAGAGTTTCACGATCGGGACTCCAAGGTGGACTTATTCTACGCCGAGACCGATCTCGATCAACCCACGGATTACAGTTTGCGATACGCCGAGGATGACACCGACGATGAGGAGAAACAGAGTACCGAGTACTTTCCCGGCGGCGAGCAAGAAGATACCGTCAAGACTTACTGCACCGAGGGTACTCCATATGAGACTCCCTTCAATTTCTCCACGGCGACTTCGATGTCAGACCTGCGGGTCGAGGACACGAAGGAGAGCGATGTCCTGAAGAAGTTGCCGAAGAAGACAATCGAAATAGGCCGCAAGAGTCCGGTGTCTTTCATCAAGCAAGCCACGTCGCTCGGCTGCGACGAGCGTGACGGTTTGGTAAGGAAGGAGGAAGAATTAGAAGAGAACTCAAAGGATACTGCAGTTCTCAATCCTGGACAAGTGACCCCAGAGAAGGTAGTAAATTATTACGAGGAGGGAACGTCGCACGGTTTCTCGCGCGCCAATTCGCTTAGTTCTCTGAGTAGCGCAATGACCCCTCAGAATAACATTCCAGGGGTTATGTCAAAAGTAAACTCGCCTGATTCTGTGAATAAGGAAGAGCTTGAGAGTGACGATCACAGTGTTCTAAGCTTGAGTAGCAATCAAATGAGGCTGCCTTCACAAAACAGTGACCTGTCTGCAAATAAAAATTCGCGCGTGTTAGACAAAGAAGGTTTGTATTGATTGGTAAATTGAAGTACACAGTATACAGGAGAAAAAAGACATTCTTGTTTGGAAAATAACTTTATTTTTGACAATTAATCTTCAGATTACATAGCATTAAACAGAAATAAGGTATTGCAAGAATATATTTTATATAATTCAACATAAAAGTACCTCTGTTCTTACTATAGAAAAATAACTTTCATTAGTGAAAAGTATAAAATATTAGATTAAGAATATGATGTTTTTAAATATTGAAAGAAAATATCATGATCTTCAAAATAATCATATTTTTTTAGAAACTTATAATATTCAAATAAAACTATAACATTATTGAAATTCAAGACTACAAAATTCTTCTAACAAAATTGTATATTGTTGCTTATATATGAAACAATAATTTTTAATTTAAGTATGTTAGTTTTAAGTGAATAAGGAAATCTGAAATGTAATACATATTTAAAAACATATTCTTAATCCAATATTTTGTGCCATTAATGAATATTATTTTTAAATAATGAGAATACAGATTTTTTTTGTTAAAAAGCATATAAATTATATTCTTGTGAGTAACTTATCTTTGTTTAATGCTATGTAATCTTATTTGAAGATTAACATGTCAAAAATAAAGATATTTTTCAAATAAGAATCTTTTTTTATATAAAGATGTGAATAAACCAGAGTTGAGTAAGTTAATGTGTTTTTAACTAAGTTAAAAATTGCATAAACTAATGTAATTAAAACTTACACAAAAACGATGTTTTTAAAATATCTTTATTTTGGGCATGTAAATATCTAAATGAGATTGCATAGTGTTAACCAAAAATTGACTTGTATCAATATATTTTATATAATTCAACAAAAAAATATATTCCTATTATTAAAAAAAATTTTCATGAAAGAAAAGCACAAAATATTAAGAATATGATGTTTTTAAATATTGGAAAAAGACATTATTATCATCAAAATAATGATATTATACTTTTCTTATAATATTTAAATAAAATTATATTAAATTAAAAGTTTTTCTAGCAAAATTATATATTATTACTTAACAATAATTGACAATTTATATATCATTACTTAATAATGATAAACTTAAACAATGATGTTAACCAAAGTATATAAATTTTAAATGGATATTAATCTTTTTTCTGTGTGATTTAAAATTAAATTAATTTATTAAAGCTAATTCTACAAGGAAATATATATTTTCTTGCACAATTAAGTTTTTAATTGTGGATTTTTTGAAGTAATATATTTTAAAATAATTTTAAAGTAATTTTTTAATAAAAATAAATTTATATGAAATAATAAAGAAATGGAAATAATGTGAAGAAAGGGACTAAAGTTCTGTTGGAATTATTTTTTATATTTCTTATTCTAGATTGTAAGAAGTTTGCAGTAGTGATTAATTATTTTAACCTATGTATTTAAAAAAAGTTAAGCTAATGTTAATATTTTTTGAAGTAATTTATTTAAGTTAAAAGTTGATTTATCTCAAATTAACTAAGTTAAAAGTTGTTAAGTTTTTAACTTTATAACTTAACTTTTATCGGATTAACTAATTATTAATTTACTCAGCTCTGAGGAACATATAATTCATATAAACAAACATAGATATACTGTTCAATTAGCATAAAAGTATATGTAAATATATGTGTGTCATAGGAAAAATGGTGACATTTGGTGGTCAAGATTATTATGCCGAAGAAACCCCTTTGATGTTTTCGCGTTGCAGTTCACTTGGCTCACTGAGTGGATTTGAGCAACATTCTATTCACGACGATCGCAGTTCTGTGGTTAGTGATTTTAGGTGAGTTGTAGAACATTTAAATAGCAGAATAGAAGATATAAGTACACTGAAAAGCTTTATGAATGTTTTTAGCCGTAGGACCAGCGGTGCGGTTTCACCCAGCGAACTGCCAGACTCGCCTACACAAACGGTTCTGCCTAGCCCGCGTAATCATAAAACCCAGAGTACAGAGTTTATATCCAAAATGCAAGAAGAAGCAGTAAGACCGTCCGTCCGACATTTATGTATGCAATGTTACTGATCACCAATTTAATGAGAATAATCCCATAAAAAGTAACAATATTAATATAAAGGGATTGATGCAACAGAATTAATGTGAGCGCTTGCTTGTATAGAAAATTGCATAGGTTCTGTGTCTGTTGCAGCGTATTCTAAACCGTCAATCATGAGAAGTAGCGTTTTTGAGGATGAAGTAGCCACTTTCAAGGAAGAATCAACACCGGTCGAGTTTTCCACCGCGACGAGCCTCAGTTCTCTTACGATCGATGACGAAGTCAAAATACCTAATGACACGAAAACGCTTTGTAAATTAGAGAAGGTGTCCGATACGGATGAGAAAAATATTTGTAGGATTGAGAAAGATATGCTCAATATGACGATAAACGGCTCTGAAAGTAAAACGAAAGAGGAGCAAGTGAGCGACGGCGATGAAGACGACGAGGATATGTTGGCCGCTTGTATTAATATGGGAATGCAAACCAACAGGTAATATGCAAGAATTTACCTGGTTGATCATAGGATATATCTGCATTAAAATCACAGGAAGAATTTCGTATTATTTCGTATAAAATAATGTTAACATGCGTATTGCAGATTCAGACAGTCTTTCAAAACGCTCAACTCTCAGAAACCTGCGCAATCAGAAGCCTCGAGTATCTTGGTGCCATATCAGAGGAATTCTATGCCGAACAGATTAGAATCGCATGTGCCTGTAGCTTCCATTGAGACGTCTATCGGGACCTCGAAGACGAATAAAACCGGTATGGAGATCGGCGTTGTACCCGATACTGTGCACGTGTATTGCACGGAGGACACGCCTGCAGACATCTCCCCGGTCGGATCTCAATCTAATCTGTCTGCCCTCTCAATGCCGAGTGTACAAGAAGATATAGAGAAAATCGAGCAGGAGAAATCAGCGGAGATCGAACGCCATAGGAACGATTTGTCCGACGAAAGTTCCAATCTTTCTGGCGAAGATGAAAAAATACTGGACGAGTGCATTCAGTCGGGCATGTCTAAGGTACTTGCTACTTTCACCAGTTCCTTCTATTTCTCGAGTACTATTTATAGAAATATACATTTGTGTTTAAAGGGATGCTTGATGTCGACATAATACAATTTTCTGTTCATAATTTGCACTGTTTGGTTAAACAAATTGCAAATGTGTTTGCAGAATAAAAATACAAATATTAGTACATTGGACGATACTCGGTGTTATGAAAGAGACAAACAAATGTTTGTTTACCAAGTTTTATTTATATAATTTCGTTATATTAGAGTATTCAACATCCTTTTAAAATCTTCAATACGGTAAATATTTGTCGTAGCATTATCTAGTGATCAAGAGCAATAGATAAGAATAGACTCATGGTTGTACGAAACTTTTTTGTATAATACATCTTCTGCTAGAGTTATCATTGACACGTATAAAAATTTCTTTTACGAGTAATTAAAAAAAATATTCAACATAACTTTAAATAAGAAGTTACAAGATATATATTATTTTATTATAAATAAATAAAGAAAGGCTTAGATTTAGAAATAACATTTAATATGAAATATTTAAAAATATGATACTACACATATAAAGTAATATTATATATTGTATAACAATATCGCGATCTCCTTTTAATATTTTTAGTACCTAAACTACATCTTAGTGAGTAATAATTAATGCTAGTCTCAACTACCGATTCCAGCTGATGTTAATACTGCAGATGTTTTAATATGTTCATTATTTACAGCCGAGACAGATAACTCCACCTCCAACAAATAGTATAGCGTTCGTAAAAAAAATCGAACTACCATCGCACAAGTTTAATATATACGGTACGCCGTCGTCCTCACCTGTTGAGACGAGTCACGCGAATAAGAATCCTATAATGACTAAGTCGCTAGGCAGTACGTCATTGAGGCATCCGGACGAACTTTCTGACGACAGTCCGAATCATTCAGATGACGAAGCAATTTTAACCGAATTCATACAATCCGCAATGCCAAAGGTAACTGAGGAAAATTTTCACAATCTCATTGTGGGAAGATCTTATGCGCTTAATTTGAATAATTTATTGTATTTTAGGCAAGATTTAGCATGTCACCGTCAAACAGATCACCATTATCGCAAACTGTGGAAAGTCCCAAAGCGACGAATATACGGACGC